ATAGGACACTAAGAGAAAAAACATAGAGAAGGAGAATAATGAAGAAAAAAATGGGAAAAATGCAAAAAGAAAAACAAGGAATGGAGTTTACCATGAGAAAAAAAAGAAAAAAATTATTACAACCAGGAATGGGGAAAAGAAAAAGAGCTGAAAACTAGGACCTGGGAGAGGAGGAATAAAGAATAATAGTAAAAAGGACAAATTATATAATAATAGTAGTAGTTTTAAAACAGACAAAAACAAGCAAACAAAAACCAGAATAAAAAAAGAGAAAAAAAGAAAAGGAAAGGAAAAAAAGAAAAAAATCGAGGCAGAGTAGGGCAAAGCACCCATGCTCTGTCTGAGCACACATACTGGGATGGAGTTCCTGTGGGCCCAGAAGGTGGGTGGGAGTGGGAGATGGCCACACCTCCATTCACAAAGGGGTTTGGGGTATAAGAGTAACAAGGGGAATGTCACACCTTTTCAGTGGTCCAGGTCCAGAGTGTCCTTGGGGTTACTGGCAAGCAGAACCTGTTCTTAATCCCCTGGAATCTGGGAGAGCATTGTCTCTTTAAATATCCAAAATGGTTAAGCTGCTTGTAAACATTCAAAATGGCTGCACCTTCTGGACAGGCAGAAGTCCACAGCTCAGCCTGCCTTCCTCTTCACTGCTGCTTCGCCTTTTATTCCCCAGCTGCCAGAGAAGTCTTCCGTGCAGTCCCTCACTAGCAGGGCTGATTTTTATGTTCATTCTTAGGTCCTACCACCACTCAGCACTCTCCAAGCTGTCTGTGCCATGCTGTCAGGATTGCTCAGGGTCGCTCCCAGACTACAGCTCCATATGTCTCCTTTTTTGGTATTTTCATGCAAATTCTTCTGCTAGTTGGAGTTTAGTCCACTTCTATATCCTTCCCTTCAAGGCTCAGAGGTCCAGGATTATCTTCTGTGTCTGTGTTAATTGGTTCCCCTTTTCTTTGTTGAAGAGGGTCTGTGCAGTCTTTCTGCCTATTCCACCAACTTATCGGAAGTCCTGGGGAATATTTTTGAGAATGGTTTTTGAAGATGCTTAACCAAGGACTTCCACCAGAAAGATGAGATGATATGTTTTTTGCCCCTGCTGAGCACCATATTTGTTGGCAACTTTGGTAAACATTTATCCAGAATGGTGCTCTGTCTTGAAAAAGGTGGCAGGTTAATTAGACTGAATACCTTCCATCTTAGAGACGTTGGGGGAGTAATTTTCCCTAAGAAAGTTGACTTTGGACTTAGATTTAAATTGCCATCTCCAGATTACTGAATGCCTCTCCTATTTTCATGAGATCTCACTAACATTGTTTGTCTATGGGAGTCACATCACTGTAAGACAATGGACCAATGTCAATGGCATCACTGCTCTTGCCATGTGTCCCATCAACTGGAAGCTGCTGCTTTTCCACAATAGAACTGGTTTCCTATAAAACAGCTTTCGGTCACCCTTTAAGAAAAGAAAGCCTAACCAGGTGTGTTAGACTGGGTTCTCTAGAGAAATAAAACCAGTGAAGCTTATACATATAGAGAAAGAGAAATTTATCTTAGGAAATTGGCTCACACACTTATAGAAGCTAGCAAGATCCCAAATTCTTGGATCAAACGTCAAGCTGGAGCCTTTTCCTGACTCATGCAGCTGCAAGGTCTGAGGAGCTTAATGTTGGCAGGCAGTATACTGGCTGTTGACTTCAATGAATGATAAATCCAAGATCTCCAGGCCAAATGGTGAATTGCTCCCTCACGGACAGTTGTAGGCAGAATCCCAATCCACAGACCAGTGTCTCTTTTCCCAGGATATCCACAAATATACTGGAAGCAGGCCATACCCCTAGGGAAACTCCCTTTCAACGGATTGGCTGTTCAAAACATATACATCTGATCCCATCATTGGAACAACCCACATCACAATTGCTTAAACCACACAGAATTGTGGTCAAGCCAAGTTGACACACAACTCCAACTATCACAACTAAGGACTGGCCAAAGATAAGATATTGGAGGAATGAAGTATAAATCCTAGCAATGACCTTGTAACTAGAGTATTGTAGTTTTAATCTGTACTTCCTCCCATTTTGCATCATATAATAATAATGATGAGCTCTGGTAGCATAGTGCTTAAGGCACTTGACTGCTAACCAGACGGCTGG